AATTTCAATTGCTTCTTTTTTCTCTAGGTTGACCGTAATTTACCAGTAACTATTGAAGAGTATCGTATACTTCACTGCTGACGTTTTCAGGGTTGTTTCACACTTCTTTCACTCGTATTGCTCTACGAGTAGAGCCTCCTTTACTCAACTCTTTGGATGGCGCAGATTAAAAAGTGAAAAAAAAAAGGGAAAAGAAGGTTCTGGTCGCAGGGCACCGGCGAGGAAATGTTGGAAATCCAGTAGATAGTCTGAATAAAAGAGAAACCAGAAACTGCAAGGGAACGGATACGATAAACGCTGCCAACGTAGGCTGGCGTTACATATCTTCGCTACACAGTGCTGACGAGCCCCAAGAAGGGCGAAACAGCTGTCCACTGTTGCGATCCTACTTTATCGGTTCTTGACATATTGGTGTCTCGAAACGTTTTTCACGTAGTATCAGCCTTGCAGTCTACTCTTTGAATAAAAGACGTTGTTGCTTATCGTATCACCGTGGGGTTAGGTTTAGGGAGGGCCTGGAGGAAGGTGAGGGGAGGTGGCTGTTGGGACAGGTGTGTAGCTGGACAGAGCACGCAGCATAAAATACTAAATCCCAACTCGTTTTAAATTACATTATCCGAGCTAATTGCTAAAGGTCTGCATAAAGAAATTCACTTTCACGCCCATTTTTTCTTCCTTGAAATAGGGCCAACTGACATAAAGAAGTTGGAAACAGAGAGTAACGGGCAATGAAACAGTTTCAAACTCCACAGTGCAATAAATAATAATGGACTCCATTCTCTCTTTTAATATAATTTAATTTATAACATTTACATATTTAATTTACATGTTGCGTTGTTACGCTCTCTGCGAAATAATATGCATAAACTGAAACAGCAATGTAATAGAAATTAATAAATTATGATCAGTCGAGAGATTCCAGTCAAAGTTTTCTTCAGCCAAGCGGTCAAACATCAATTCTGTCTGATTTCTTAGCCTGAAAATTCAATAAAATGTATATTGGTTGAATATTGATTTCACCAAAAGGTTCAGTATTATGTTGCTTTAGGTACCCCTCGGTACCAACATGGCGTCCCCATTGAAAGCTTTAAAAATTGGGGTGAACTTGACGCGCGGATAACGCGCGTATGAAAAACTGTACAAAGCTAAATCTTGGTGACGCTGTTTACTCTCATAATCTTTAATTAATATCCCAGATTCTTAGTGAATCCAGGAGTAAGGAAAGAGGTGGAAAGTGTATACGTGTGGCAGGAAATTAAAAAGAGTGGGAGGAAACGCTATTGCCAAAACGTGACGGAGAACGAGATTTACAACATGGCGTCAATATCTTTCAATGGAAAAGACACAAGAAAGAATTACAGTCAAACCTCTCCAAAACTGCAATGGCCACCTTGGGGACAGAGAAAAGTAGGGGTTGTAGAGAGGTGGCGGTTTTAGGAAGGTGGCCGTTAGTGGAGGTTCGACTATATCATATTTTCTACTTACAAAAGTTGCACGAAAATCTGCATGACTTCTCCATCCTGGCGACTTGTTTTTCACACGCATCAAGCATGACAATATCATAAAAGCATGAATACTTATCGGCTTCGTCTACGCAAGGTCTGACATTCTCTGAAGAAACTGCAAAAATAGTGAAAAACATTGCTGGATAAATTATTTATTAAATTTAGGAAAAACACTCAGGACTAGCTAGTTTCTGGGGACATGCGTAAAAAGGTAACGGACTGAAGGTCTTGAAGGCTTTACGGTCATTTCGTCCCAACCAAAAGTCATTTCGCCCCATAATCGAAGTCACTTCGCCCCATACAAAAGTCACTTCGCCCCATACAGAAGTCACTTCGCTCCATGTAAGAAACTAGTGAAATTTGTCGTGAACTTTTCGTTTTGATGTTGGAGTTGGAATGATTTTGAACTTGAGACTTATGTCAGTTCAGATTATTAACTACTGCAGCTTCCAGTCACGTTCGTTTAAATACGCTTGGTAACACTAAATATCATTTCGTTGGATTACTTTCTTCATCACGAATTCTTACACGTTGTAATCCCTCAAAATACACTAAACATCACTTCGTTCGATTACTTTCCTCAACACGAATTCTTATCCGTTGTAATCCCTCAAACCCCGTTAATGAACGGGAACTTGAACTGTTCTTGTTAATTCTTATCGTTATCGGCCTCTAGTTTTGCTTACTCAAGAGAAACGACTTTCGGTAAATGTTGTCTCACTTTTACCGCGCGTAATTGGTTGAAAACTTGCCATGACAACGCAGCAATGACGTACGCTTCAAATTTCAGGACTTTATAGCGATGAAGCACTGCTAATCTTTTGCTTTGTTCTTGTTCTTTTACTTTAAACAATAATTTTAGAAAAGGGAGCTTTTGGAAAAGATTACGAGTTTGAATAAAGATAAGTTTGCATAAATTATTCGGCTTTTTCTATGATTTTATATTTTTATCAAAAGAATTGTCACGTTTTTATTTTTTTTTTCCTGTATTCTATGTATTGCATTGTTGATCATTGCTTTTATTTTATTTGGTGGAGCCGTTTGTTTTTTTGTTTGTTTGGTTTATCCGCCTAGTCCCTCAGTGCATTCAGGTCAGTAAGAGCAGGCTTTCAACAACCGCTTGGCTGACCGTTCGTTGGCCTCGTATTCGTCCCACAAGTTGAACAGTTTGGTCTGGAGGTCGCGGTACTTGTGTCGTTGGATTCTTTTGAGTTTCCTGTCAGACACAAGGCGGATCTGCAGGACTTCTTGAAGTGAAAAAAAAAAAAAACGCGCAACTTAAACTGTACTGACGTTTCCGTGTATGGGGGCAGATGCGGGATTTGCTACGGCAGCAAATTTGGTTTTCGAGACGCGAAAAAACGTTTCTGAACAATTCCAGAAAGATTTTGCTTGCGCAGCTTAAGTTTTATACAAAAACATTTCTGCATTTCAGTTCAAAACTGAAAGGTGTAGAATTTAAACCTACGTACTATACCTTGATTTGTTTGTGATCCTGAGTCACTCCGCGTCCTAATGGGAGATCGAACCATTGTCAGGCCAATTGGTAACCCCATAGAAAACATTCTTGCACAAGACGCGAAAATTATAGCCAACAAGACTAAAAGGAACGTCGACGTTTTCATCTTGTTTGTTAAACGATTGCCAAGCTTCTAGTTCTGTAGGCCTGTGGGTTATAATGAGTCTAATTAATGCTTAGTTATATATAGAGCTTTTCACAATGAAGAACTTAATACAGTTTCTAAAATACCAAGGAAAGTCAATTCGTTGGTCACCAAGGTAATTATTGACAACTGAAAAGAAACATGGCATTCCACAAATAACTCATAGATTAACTTGGCTCAAGAATAACTTTGGTATTACACCGCTGGCGTGAAATTAATTGCTGTGATGTGCCGAATTGTTTTGTCCACTTTGTCTGTGCTAGCTTGCCAGCTTAAAGAGCGTTTCAGTTTGTCGCTCACAAGACGACGAAATTTGCATGTAAGCAGCCTGATGTAATGATTGGCCCAATCACGAGAAAACTGCGATTCTTTTGTTTCAAAATTGTTCTCTCATTGGTGGCTTTTATCTGGCATCTGCTGGGATCAGAATGCCAGCACCTAAGCTTTTCATCTATTCTACAAATCTCTTGACCACGTGATATTCTCTAGAGAATGTTTCTTTTATCCATCATAAAATAATTCATTCATATACACGCGACTATTTAAAAATTTGAAAGCAAGAATTCTCAAGAGAATCATCACGTGGTCTGCAATGGGAAAACAAACCGCCCAAGTTAAAGAAGTCTATAGCGGCCCACAGTTACGGAAGTAAGGTATTCATTACTATACCTTGTCGTTTTTAAAATTGGCTTACGTTCCGAAGCGTGGGAAGAAATTTGGAAATCGCATGATTTCGAATGTGAACCCTTGCCCCAAATCTAGTGTTTCGAAAATTGCTTTCGCTCAAAACGCCGTCAATGGTTTTCCTGCTTCTAGTCCTGTTAGAGAACCATCGCATGGAGTTCTGCAACTAAAATATTTACTCTGATATCGGATTTTGTAAAAAGAATATTTAGAGACACTCAAAATTCTTCCGGTGTAAGTTATACCTAGTTTTCTTGTTTTCAGTGATAAATGATGTTGAAACTCAAAATGGGTACTGTTAAAATGTACTGTGGTATTTACAAACCTCAATAATTGTCTTATTTAATTGGGAAATTTACTTTACCATTTGGTCTGGAAAAACTGAAACCGGCGTCCTTCGAGTCATAAATAGCCGTGAGAAAACAAACAGAGATCTTGCGGCCCTTAAAACTCAAGGTATTTTCAATACCACTTCGAACATTCTTGCACTAAAAGCTGAGATGGGTTGACAACCTGAGGTATGAAACGTCTGTTTGGCTATCCTGAAACTTCTGATGCTGTTTGCATTTAGCTGTTCAGTATCACTTGTGAGACTTGGCCGTCTAAAGATCGGAGAACTGTTACGTGACCTTTTTCTGTTGGGTTTCGATCAACTATGGAACCGGAAGGCCACCCCTCACGAGTCACGATCACTCCTCACGCGCGACGCCCGTGTAATCGATCGTAAAGCGGACTTTGCTCTCGACCCAGATTCTTGCGACCATTTTGTTTGGGTGCCGATGATACACCCAAAGGGTATACGCCCTTTGATACACCCTTTAGTTTTTTGGTTTTATACCAACGGTAAGATTATTGAAACAGGGAAAAAAAATGCTAGTTTGGGGGCAGTTTCGCGAAGTTTTTCCCTTCTCGGGGAGCTTTTCAATTCCTTTTTTCCAGTAACTGACGCCTAATTTTTTCAAATAAATTATGAAACCGCCTCTCTTTGAAAAAGGTTAGCATAATTAAACAGTGACTAATTTGGAGAAAAACTTCACCGGCCGTAAGTTGGAACTTGTCTTTCCGTGAAAGAGAATTAAAGCAATCCTTTGCGGCGAAAAGTAGACTTCCTGAAAGTCCTTTTAAATAATAATTCCCTCGCATATTGGAATCGTCGCTGCGCTCGGGAGCGGTGATCAAGCGAAGGATTGACTTGTGGCAGCTGTAGGCGAAAAGCTCAGCAGAGCTCAAGCTATATTTTTTAACCGTTTGAGTTTTGCCAAGCCCGTGATCTTAACTTAATCAACTCTGATATATATAACAGCGAAAACCTACCGACACTGTACCTGTCTTGTCCCTTTCAATTTTCAAAGAAGCACGACGCGTCGAAGTGAAAAATCACTAAACTAAATCAGCTATATAGCCCTTTACAGAGTTGTGTTGTCACAACATATGGCAACCGGGAAGTAATTCATAGCTTTAACTACCTCGTTACAGGACATTTTTCCGACAAATGAATCCCGTCCCTTTGAAAATACGGTACTTCGCGACAATCACATTTTCATGATTTTGCATAATTGCTCAACAACATCAAAATCAAGAAATTTTCGATTCAACAATGTTATCCCATACGGATCAAAGATACAAGGTGAGAAAGGGAGTTGAAAAGAAAACGACTTGTCTGTTTCTAAAATTTTTAGCTAGTGTTACAATTGAACTTGCTGTCGCATAATGGCTGACATGTTTGCCAGAATATGGACAGTTTGATGGCAGGAACAGAGATATATTAAAGGAGAACAGGACTTAAAGCAATACTTATACATCTGAATTGAACTCAATATATGAAACAGGAGGTCTTAAACTGAGCGATACTTGATTTAAATTGACACTTATTTAATGTCCGGATTTGAAACTTTTATTTTTATTATTAGCATGGCGTGATTTTTTGCGGCTTTCTTTTTTTCACATAGGTTTCGCAACTCATTTAGGAAGCTTCACAAGAATTTCCGATCATAAGGCGGCTCGTCTTCGATTTGAATTCCTTTTAGAGGAAATCTCGTGAATGAGTCATAGTTTGGACTCCCGTTGTGAGAGACAGGTAATAATAAATCCTGCTTTGTTTTTTTGATATTAAAAAAATTGAAATTAAAAATTATCACCATTGTGATAGACTTTTTATCATCCTGTTTTGTCAAGTTGGACACCTTTTGAGAGCCGCCCATACAATACACTCAAAGCCAGTATATCTACTTCTGTACCCATTATTCTCAGAACGAAATACATACATCCTTTGTCTTTCCTTGTTCAATTCTGTAGCAGAACGTTTTTTCAAATTTTTAGCATTAAACTAGAAAAGCGAAGATTCTTTTTAACTTTAACATTTATTGAATGATGGAAACCTATTTACACTAGTGTCATACAGAGCTCAAACAATGGCTGTTTATGTTGGCTTACTTGAAGCAAATGTGCCTTAAAATGTTTTAGTGGACTTAACTGTCTACAACAAGGAAATCAAGACAACTGAAGTACTCAAAAAAACGTTTTTATTCAAGTCCGGTCGCCGGAATTAATCAGTTCTGTATGAATCGTATGAGCTCCGTCCATGAAGGTTAAATGGACAGGAAGTTGATATTTTTGTCGCAATGAAAATGGACAAGAACGAATAAATAAGCCGTCGATTTCCGCCGCGATATATATCACTGCTATCATATATATCACATGTGTATGGTCTCTTTGTTCATCGTTTGCTTGTCCTTCCAAGAAAATGTCGATTTTACATTGTTTTGAACACAGTTACATTTGCAAAAATATCAGGCCCCGTCCCCACTAATATAGAAACGCAACACTCACCAGTCATTTTGGATTTGTGGTTGAAGAAAACTCGTGCTGGGAAATCACATGATTATTGTGACGCCATCGTTTTCAAAACGTTTTCCGTCCACAGGAATTAAAACGAAAATCCGGCGTTTTCAAATTCCTTCGGGTTAAAGAGCGTCTTCGAAAAGCTCTATTTTCGTGACGGATTAGTGCGGACGGTACGCCTAACCGTAGAAATAAAGCTGCGTTTTAAAATTTCTCCGGCATCGTGTGGACGGGGGCCTCATTCTTGCCTCGCGGAATGAACAAGAAGGTTAGAAGCCACAGACCAAGTTTAGAAGTTAAATTTAGTACAAAAAAAATGAAAAAAGAAAGGTTCATATAGGCAAGTCATAGAACAGCTGAAACTAACTCATTAACTAAGCAGCATAAGGGAGAGATCTGAGAGATTTGAAAAAGTATTGATCAAAGGTACGTTGTGATCGTCATGTACTTGTTGAGAACACTTGTTAATATGATTAATAGGCCCAACTCAGAGAACAATTTTTAACTTAACAAAAAATATTAAGTGAAAAAAGCACCGGTCGTTTAATTTTTCTATGTATCGTTGAAGCAACTATGTCAAAAGATTGCTGCCGTTGTTTCACGCGTGCATGAAAATCTTTTGCAAGCTGTCTCAATAATACTTTTGGGGAAAAATTACGTGCTTTTTGCGGGATGAAAATAGGCTCTCAAAAACTGAAGAGGATTATAAGTTGAAATATTCTGAAACGATCCAAATATTTGTATATGGTATAAACATCCAATAAATGTTAAAATAAAATAAAGAAGAACTAATAAATAATGGTGTGCTGAGGATAATTAATATATTTGTCATTTACCATATTTAATATAAGCTGCAGTACTTCTGCAGATATAGCAATCAACATTGTTTCAATGAAACAGTTTCGGATTTGATATTGAGTCCAAAAATAGGGGATTTTTTTTCTGACTGATTCCTAGATGTTCTGGTTGTGTCGGGATTTAGATCCAGGTTCCGACTGTGGTGACTGTATTAGTCTGCAATCCACCGACGTTTTTGTTGATGGATAATATTTATATTTTATTAACCGAGCGCGAAGGCCATATTACGTGAATATAGACCCGAGGTCTTAACAGTACGGACCGTGCGAGGCGAGGTCCATAGAAAAAAAGACTGAGGACCGATATTCTTCTAGTATACGGTCCCGCGTAAGTTCGGTTAATAAGAAATTTATAACACGACTGAAAATGATTAGAAAAAAAAATACCAACGATCATGGACTGGAAAAACATTCCAAACTTCAAGCGAACGATCCAAGCCGACTAGGCGTGTACCCACTTCTGATGTTAAACAAAACAAATTAGGGAAAAGAGGGTTGAAAGAAAAAAAAAAAAAGAATACTTTATGTGACAGCAAATTCTTTTAGAAACGTAAACCATAAAACTGCCAGAAAACCAAACTTGAATAGTGATGGTGCGGGATCTATTCGGGACAGTGGCCGGTTCAATACTTGAAGAATATTGGACCGGCAATGGAGCAGTCTGATTGGTTAACTTTGGTGATTGGCCCTCTGAAACAACTTAATCGTGTAAAACCAGTATGCAAAGGATATCAGATATAGATATTACACGGCAGGGTGAAGATATGAATTTTATTTTGGAGTCGTAAAAACAATATTTCATGAACGGGTGTAGCGAGTGAGTAAAATTTTTTTATTACCTCGAGAAAATAAAATTCATATCTACAAGCCACGTTGTAATTTAGTTTTAATAATACAGGGAAACAGACTGTTTGTACAAAACACTGTGAAAAAGCGGGAAAATATGAGTGATATGTAAAAAAACGCCATTCGGGTCCCGAATGTATTGTCGCATGAATTTTACGAGTGGTGAATTTTCTAGTGACTCTAGTAAACACTCGTGTCAATGTAATAAGTAGAATTATCTTAGGGTAGCTTGCATTGACCTATGTTGATTAAAATTCAGCTATTTTTTTAGGTTTATAACTCTTTTATCAACTCTAGTTCCAAAGTAATATTTGTTTTTGTTTTGTTTGTTTTTTTTTAACAGCGCAAATGACGCGCAATTTTAACAAATTTCGTGTCATGAAATTTAAATCAAAAATCCCTCGTAAGGGAGCCGAGAGCAGTTTTGAACACAGAGTCTGCGTTCCTCTCGAAAATATGGAGACTATGGGTAAAGTGACACTGAGATTACCTGAATTTGCATACATTTGAATATAAACATGAATTTTAAACGACAGGTATCAAAGGCTTGTACCAGCTGAACAGCTGAAGTGTCATGACANGACTTCCTGAAAGTCCTTTTAAATAATAATTCCCTCGCATATTGGAATCGTCGCTGCGCTCGGGAGCGGTGATCAAGCGAAGGATTGACTTGTGGCAGCTGTAGGCGAAAAGCTCAGCAGAGCTCAAGCTATATTTTTTAACCGTTTGAGTTTTGCCAAGCCCGTGATCTTAACTTAATCAACTCTGATATATATAACAGCGAAAACCTACCGACACTGTACCTGTCTTGTCCCTTTCAATTTTCAAAGAAGCACGACGCGTCGAAGTGAAAAATCACTAAACTAAATCAGCTATATAGCCCTTTACAGAGTTGTGTTGTCACAACATATGGCAACCGGGAAGTAATTCATAGCTTTAACTACCTCGTTACAGGACATTTTTCCGACAAATGAATCCCGTCCCTTTGAAAATACGGTACTTCGCGACAATCACATTTTCATGATTTTGCATAATTGCTCAACAACATCAAAATCAAGAAATTTTCGATTCAACAATGTTATCCCATACGGATCAAAGATACAAGGTGAGAAAGGGAGTTGAAAAGAAAACGACTTGTCTGTTTCTAAAATTTTTAGCTAGTGTTACAATTGAACTTGCTGTCGCATAATGGCTGACATGTTTGCCAGAATATGGACAGTTTGATGGCAGGAACAGAGATATATTAAAGGAGAACAGGACTTAAAGCAATACTTATACATCTGAATTGAACTCAATATATGAAACAGGAGGTCTTAAACTGAGCGATACTTGATTTAAATTGACACTTATTTAATGTCCGGATTTGAAACTTTTATTTTTATTATTAGCATGGCGTGATTTTTTGCGGCTTTCTTTTTTTCACATAGGTTTCGCAACTCATTTAGGAAGCTTCACAAGAATTTCCTATCATAAGGCGGCTCGTCTTCGATTTGAATTCCTTTTAGAGGAAATCTCGTGAATGAGTCATAGTTTGGACTCCCGTTGTGAGAGACAGGTAATAATAAATCCTGCTTTGTTTTTTTGATATTAAAAAAATTGAAATTAAAAATTATCACCATTGTGATAGACTTTTTATCATCCTGTTTTGTCAAGTTGGACACCTTTTGAGAGCCGCCCATACAATACACTCAAAGCCAGTATATCTACTTCTGTACCCATTATTCTCAGAACGAAATACATACATCCTTTGTCTTTCCTTGTTCAATTCTGTAGCAGAACGTTTTTTCAAATTTTTAGCATTAAACTAGAAAAGCGAAGATTCTTTTTAACTTTAACATTTATTGAATGATGGAAACCTATTCACACTAGTGTCATACAGAGCTCAAACAATGGCTGTTTATGTTGGCTTACTTGAAGCAAATGTGCCTTAAAATGTTTTAGTGGACTTAACTGTCTACAACAAGGAAATCAAGACAACTGAAGTACTCAAAAAAACGTTTTTATTCAAGTCCGGTCGCCGGAATTAATCAGTTCTGTATGAATCGTATGAGCTCCGTCCATGAAGGTTAAATGGACAGGAAGTTGATATTTTTGTCGCAATGAAAATGGACAAGAACGAATAAATAAGCCGTCGATTTCCGCCGCGATATATATCACTGCTATCATATATATCACATGTGTATGGTCTCTTTGTTCATCGTTTGCTTGTCCTTCCAAGAAAATGTCGATTTTACATTGTTTTGAACACAGTTACATTTGCAAAAATATCAGGCCCCGTCCCCACTAATATAGAAACGCAACACTCACCAGTCATTTTGGATTTGTGGTTGAAGAAAACTCGTGCTGGGAAATCACATGATTATTGTGACGCCATCGTTTTCAAAACGTTTTCCGTCCACAGGAATTAAAACGAAAATCCGGCGTTTTCAAATTCCTTCGGGTTAAAGAGCGTCTTCGAAAAGCTCTATTTTCGTGACGGATTAGTGCGGACGGTACGCCTAACCGTAGAAATAAAGCTGCGTTTTAAAATTTCTCCGGCATCGTGTGGACGGGGGCCTCATTCTTGCCTCGCGGAATGAACAAGAAGGTTAGAAGCCACAGACCAAGTTTAGAAGTTAAATTTAGTACAAAAAAAATGAAAAAAGAAAGGTTCATATAGGCAAGTCATAGAACAGCTGAAACTAACTCATTAACTAAGCAGCATAAGGGAGAGATCTGAGAGATTTGAAAAAGTATTGATCAAAGGTACGTTGTGATCGTCATGTACTTGTTGAGAACACTTGTTAATATGATTAATAGGCCCAACTCAGAGAACAATTTTTAACTTAACAAAAAATATTAAGTGAAAAAAGCACCGGTCGTTTAATTTTTCTATGTATCGTTGAAGCAACTATGTCAAAAGATTGCTGCCGTTGTTTCACGCGTGCATGAAAATCTTTTGCAAGCTGTCTCAATAATACTTTTGGGGAAAAATTACGTGCTTTTTGCGGGATGAAAATAGGCTCTCAAAAACTGAAGAGGATTATAAGTTGAAATATTCTGAAACGATCCAAATATTTGTATATGGTATAAACATCCAATAAATGTTAAAATAAAATAAAGAAGAACTAATAAATAATGGTGTGCTGAGGATAATTAATATATTTGTCATTTACCATATTTAATATAAGCTGCAGTACTTCTGCAGATATAGCAATCAACATTGTTTCAATGAAACAGTTTCGGATTTGATATTGAGTCCAAAAATAGGGGATTTTTTTTCTGACTGATTCCTAGATGTTCTGGTTGTGTCGGGATTTAGATCCAGGTTCCGACTGTGGTGACTGTATTAGTCTGCAATCCACCGACGTTTTTGTTGATGGATAATATTTATATTTTATTAACCGAGCGCGAAGGCCATATTACGTGAATATAGACCCGAGGTCTTAACAGTACGGACCGTGCGAGGCGAGGTCCATAGAAAAAAAGACTGAGGACCGATATTCTTCTAGTATACGGTCCCGCGTAAGTTCGGTTAATAAGAAATTTATAACACGACTGAAAATGATTAGAAAAAAAAATACCAACGATCATGGACTGGAAAAACATTCCAAACTTCAAGCGAACGATCCAAGCCGACTAGGCGTGTACCCACTTCTGATGTTAAACAAAACAAATTAGGGAAAAGAGGGTTGAAAGAAAAAAAAAAAAAGAATACTTTATGTGACAGCAAATTCTTTTAGAAACGTAAACCATAAAACTGCCAGAAAACCAAACTTGAATAGTGATGGTGCGGGATCTATTCGGGACAGTGGCCGGTTCAATACTTGAAGAATATTGGACCGGCAATGGAGCAGTCTGATTGGTTAACTTTGGTGATTGGCCCTCTGAAACAACTTAATCGTGTAAAACCAGTATGCAAAGGATATCAGATATAGATATTACACGGCAGGGTGAAGATATGAATTTTATTTTGGAGTCGTAAAAACAATATTTCATGAACGGGTGTAGCGAGTGAGTAAAATTTTTTTATTACCTCGAGAAAATAAAATTCATATCTACAAGCCACGTTGTAATTTAGTTTTAATAATACAGGGAAACAGACTGTTTGTACAAAACACTGTGAAAAAGCGGGAAAATATGAGTGATATGTAAAAAAACGCCATTCGGGTCCCGAATGTATTGTCGCATGAATTTTACGAGTGGTGAATTTTCTAGTGACTCTAGTAAACACTCGTGTCAATGTAATAAGTAGAATTATCTTAGGGTAGCTTGCATTGACCTATGTTGATTAAAATTCAGCTATTTTTTTAGGTTTATAACTCTTTTATCAACTCTAGTTCCACAGAAATATTTGTTTTTGTTTTGTTTGTTTTTTTTTAACAGCGCAAATGACGCGCAATTTTAACAAATTTCGTGTCATAAAATTTAAATCAAAATCCCTCGTAAGGGAGCCGAGAGCAGTTTTGAACACAAAGTCTGCGTTCCCCTCGAAAATATGGAGACTATGGGTAAAGTGACACTGAGATTACCTGAATTTGCATACATTTGAATATAAACATGAATTTTAAACGACAGGTATCAAAGGCTTGTACCAGCTGAACAGCTGAAGTGTCATGACACGCGAGACAAAATGGAAGCGACAGTCGACTTGATGTACTGGCTTCCCTGAGCTGTATTCGGACGAATACAGAGCCCTACACAAAATAATATTCTACAGTCCTCAAGAAAGAGCGTGACCTCGCTTCTCAAGCATGGTCACTCAACACTAATTTCAAATCCCGTTGTATTGTGGTGAATTATAAACTACACCCGGCTTTAATACGATGAGCACATGTGATCATCAAATCGACGAATCTTCGCGTCTGGTGAACCCAGTTCTGAACGCTTCGCCGGAAGATATTGGTCGAATGGCGGTCGGCAGCATTAAAGTTTACAAAAGAAGGTGGTATATTTTAATGCTTTTTACGCTTCTCAACGCAACAGGGAATATTCTGTGGAATACATGGCCTCCAGTTCAAGAGACATGCCAACTGGTGTTTCGTTGGGATAAAACGAACGTGTTGATTATCGGCGCTTTACAAGCGCTTGGTTCAATAATCAGCATAGTGCCGTCCGCATGGCTTTTGGACACAAAAGGTGAGCAGTAAGCAAGTTTATTCTCATTTTTTCCTTTGTTAAGCCTTGTGTAAAACGACATAACTTTGGAAGAATCGTCTAAAGCGATCGACCGACATATTTGTTGATATTGTTGAACAGGATAATTTGAACCAGTTCGCTCATGTTATTCTATCCGCATGAACAGCTTCTCAACGCGAAAACGGCCTCAGATTTTTAAACGGCGGTGTCTTGTTGTGAGATCGAGTGATTATAAGCTAGCGTGTTCTTTCCTTCACCGTCATGATCAAACAGGACAATAATTATAATGAATTCTCTAATTTTCAAGTACGAAATCGAGGGTCCGGCGAAGTCACGAAGGACAATGTTGTACGTTTGAGTTTGAAAGCTAAAAGAAAATTTGGGTATCAGATCCTAGACTAAGTGTAGTTCCTCCAAGTAACTCTAAGTCCATCGAGCGTGATTCTTAGGAAAGTGGGTGAGAGAGAAAGAGCTATGTTTTGTCGCCTCTCGGCCATTTTGGCCCAGCCATTTTGGACATTAGCATGCGCTATCTCTGGTCACGCTCANACATGCCAACTGGTGTTTCGTTGGGATAAAACGAACGTGTTGATTATCGGCGCTTTACAAGCGCTTGGTTCAATAATCAGCATAGTGCCGTCCGCATGGCTTTTGGACACAAAAGGTGAGTAGTAAGCAAGTTTATTCTCATTTTTTCCTTTGTTAAGCCTTGTGTAAAACGACATAGATTTGGAAGAATCGTCTAAAGCGATCGACCGACATATTTGTTGATATTGTTGAACAGGGTGATTTGAACGGGTTCGCTCATGTTACTCTATCCGTATGAATAGCTTCTCAACGCGAAAACGGCCTCAGATTTTTAAACGGCGATGTCTTGTTGTTAGATCGAGTGATTATAACCTAGCGTGTTCTTTCCTTCACCGTCATGATCAAACAGGACAATAATTATAATGAATTCTCTAATTATTAAGTACCAAATCGAGGGTCCCGCAAAGTCACGAAGGAATATGTTGTAAGCTTGAGTTTGAAAGCGAAAAGAAAATTTGGGTATCAGATCCTAGACTACGTGTAGCTCCTCTAAGTAGCTCTAAGTCCATCGAGCGTGATTCTTAGGAAAGTGTGTGAGAGAGAAATAGCTATGTCTCTCGGCCATTTTGGCCCAGCCATTTTGGACATTAGCATGCGCTATCTCTGGTCACGCTCAAGGGGCTACGTAGCAAGCGTTCCCGTATGAAGAGCTTTTCCGCATTCTGGCCGCGCGTAAAGTGGAGCGAGAACAAAAACTCGTCTCTCGCTCGCTTCAATTTACGCGCGGCCAAAATACAGAAAAGCTCTTCGTACCGGATCGCTTGCTACGCAGGCTAGCTAAGGCCTAGTCAGGACACTAGCGACACTAACGACCTAAGGAGGACGGTATATTTGCTTTGTGAACATCTTGACATAATGACACAATAGCAACATAACAGCACGAACATAACGACATAGGGAAAAAACCTGATCTTTTCCTTATGCTTTTTATGTCGATGTTCACGTTGCGACATATATAAGCTACTATGTCGTCATGTACCTATGTCGTTATATCGCTCGTGTGAACAAGGCTTGCGGCTAAAACAGCATGATTTTAACGTCATAGGGGGAAAAACAGATCTTTTCCTTATGTCGTTATGTCGATGTTTACATTATAAACATAGACCTCTACTCAAATATCGAAGAGAAATATTTAGAGAATTTTAGAGATATTTAGAAAATTTAGGGATATTTAGTAAAATATTTAGAGACACTAGATTTTAGTAATATTCACGGGTTTTCTGGCTGAACCCTATGTTTTCTTCGCTACCATTACTCCGTTCTTTGCCAGAAATAATCTTTTTCAGTGGTTCCCTACTTGAAAAATATATTCCATAGCACTACAAAAGCACTAAAACAATAATTTTTTATACCAGCATCCAGCGGATGCTGGTATGAACATCGAAGCGCCAGAATCTTCCTCAAACCCCTCTACTACTGCGAGAAAATTTTGAAAATTTTGGCCTAGGAAAATAAGAGATATTTAGAAATTTTTTAATGATATTTTTTATGATTTTGAGCATTTGCGGAAAGATATTGAGGTGATTTTACTTGATATTTCTGGAAAGGCTTAAACCGACATATGGCGATTATGTCGTTATGTCATTTTGTCGTTTTGTCGTTAGTGTGAACTAGGCTTAAGAGAGAAGAAGGTTGCTCGGAGTCTATTTATATCCAGAGGGGATGATGGTCCCTTATTTTTGGGCCAGTGTTAACCTATTTTTTCCCAGATTTGCTTGTGATGGCAAACTACAACATGGTCTGTGACAAACATGAATCTCAAATATACAGGGCAGTTGAAGATATTTATATGAAGACTGATATGCTCCTCAGGATTACCACTGACAAGGTACGGGGCCTCCGGTGAAAGGAAACGGGGCCTGGTGAACGTAGGTTAGCTCATCAGAAACTGACGCATAATGTTTATACCTCTAGGTATACCCCACAGTAGATTCATTTCCACAGCCTAGTACAGTAGGCCTACAGTTTCATTCTTTCGTAAACCTCACAGATCGTAATTTCGTCTCCAAGACTAATTTAACTATATAGTCAAACTCAAACACTTTCCTTGACATTTTTTTTAGGTCTTCGGTTTGCAGTCATATGCTCCATGTCACTTCAAACCATCGCTGTCGTCTGCGAACTCATCCCGTCCCCTCCCCATGTGAGGACCGCGCTCATCACGTTTGCCGAGTTCTTGATTTCAGTGGCGGTACCCGCTGTACAAAATGCGGGCGTGCTTGTGCTGTCCGCGACCTGGTTCCCGCCACACGAGCGCATGACCGCCACTGCCATCGCCACACTGGTTTCGTACCTTGGGTCGGCGTTTAGCTATATCGTGGGTCCAAACCTCGTACCCGATGTAGATTATGGCAACTTAACTCATTATCAAACAGGAAAAGGCATCGATATCAACAAATTGAGGAATAACACCACTCCGGAACAAATGAAATTTCTTTTGACTAGAATAAACGACTACTTGTTCATCGAGGCTGTTTTAGTTGGAGTATTATTCTTCGCGGTGCTGATTTATTTTCCCGCCAAACCGCCCAGCCCACCAAGCTTGTCGTCCGCTGCCGGGCGCCTAGATTTTGCTTCTGGCGCCAAAACTCTGCTCACAAACCGGTCATTCTGGTTACTGTTGTTAATCTTCAGTCTCAGTAACGGAGTGAACTGGGGATGGTCTAGTGTTCAGGACCTTATCTTCTCTGGAGTTGGGATTGATCAGAAGACCGCTGGCTGGTTAGGATTTTGGGCTAACGTTGCTTCCCTTCTTGGTATATCCTTTTCTTGGTAAGTTTTTTTCTATAGACTGGAGGAGACTGGAATACCCTAGGGAAAATCTTCGGAGTGGGTACGCTGTTTAATATGATCTGCACACGCAATTTTAGCCTCAACTAACATTACAACACTATTTTCTCTTCACACAGGTATGCCGATCGCATTCAGAGCTTCACCAAACCAATCTTAGTCTTCCTCTTTGTCGCTACAGCCTGTGCTCAAACAGTCCTCTCTCTAGCGTGCGAGGGGGTCATACTTCTAACAAAACCCGTCTTTTATGCCTCGGGCATCTCACAGGTGGTTCTGTTCTGTGGAACTGTTCCCCTCATCATGGAACTCGCTGCCGAGTGCACATATCCGGTCGCTGAGGGAATCACGTCCGGTATAATGATCTTATCCGTGTACGTCATCAATTTTGTTTTCTTTATCGCTTTCATGTTTCCGCAAGCGAGCCCGCGATGGATGAACTGGTTACTAGTCTCCTCGACAGTGGTTTGCACTCCGCTTATAGCGCTGTACAGGGCAAGATACAAACGACTGGATGTGGACGAATCAAAACAGAGTTGATGTCTATGATAGCATCTATGAAAAAAACAATATCTCCAAGCAATGCGGTAAAACGAAAAGTTTAGCCTCACTGGTCACATCTGTACAGATAAATGGTAGTTGTACACACTCTTATATAAGTCCCTTTTCTCGATGTCCTTCTTTAGATCGAGGCTCTGTAGGACAGTGAACGTGCGCATGACACAGAGGCCTGTAGGCCTTACGAAACTTATTTGGAGTGAAGGATTTAGAAGGGAGAATATCACCCACGCTTTTTGGAGTATTTGCTACAGATTGAATTAAAATGACCTTTCTCTACCAGTCTTCTGTCACGTATAAATCGCTTCTTCTCAATCCCTTTTTTCTGAACCTTCGTTTGTTGTCTCATAACACATTGCCTTATCGCGGGTGCATTGAGACACGTTTCGAGTCGTGTCATTACTACAGTCGGTAGGTGTGCGTTTTTCCTCTCTCTCTCGCACTCCTTCACCAACCGCATCCGATCCAACTGATATCATTTCTCAAGGCATAACTTTAAGGTCCTTTAAAAACTTAGGTGAAATGTAGACGCAAGAAAATAACAAAAGAAACGGAGAGGGAAAAAAGGGAAATGGCGTCAAAAGGGAATGAATTTTTGTAACAACCCGGGCAAGAAAAAAATCAGTTAACCTTTGACTATTAGTCGATAATTATGCACCTAGAAATCTAGAGTGCGGGGCTACGAGCGACGAAGCCAGCAGTTGGGGCTCGTACGTCGTCAGGATGAAATTAACATGCATCCTTAGAATTAAGCTCTTTAGCCAAACCGCTACATAAACCAAATACTCGTTTTGAGTCAATTGTATGAACTTGTATAGATGTGAATAAGGAGAGTTATTTTTGTTTTATTTTTTTCCGAGCTATCCGCTCACCACCAGTTTACTTTTTTACGTTCTTCACCTATGTCGCTCATGTATGTCTCAAACCTATTTCTAATTACCTCCTCTCCCTCGTAGAACGGACTTGACTACAGTCTCAATGAACGAGAGTACCCTGGGCACGAGAACAGGTGTATTCACAAGAGCAAATGACAAATGCTAATATCTTATCGGTAAAGTTGTCGTCGACGCAACATGCCGTTCCCCGGACAATCGTGTGATTCTACAAATATCAATCTCTCGCATTATCTTCGGTATATCTTGCAGCTCAGTCTTCTTTATGGTTAACCATTACATGAATCGGAACATTTTAAGCAGTTCTTTGACGCTCAAAGGTTTGTCTTAACGGGTCAACTGTGTTACTGATTAATTTTGCTTTTCAAAACATATAGCGGCGAGCACAGCAGCGTTCGAAAATACACTGAAGCAGAAACAAACGGTGAGTAAATAACTGAGTTATTTTTAAAGAAAAACATTGTGTGGAAATACAGAACTATAGAGTGGCGAAAACTGGTAATTGCTTAAGAGATTTCGATTCTGAGGAAAAATAGAAATTCTTATTGTATTAATATCATGTATATGCAATATATTCAGCATATGTAGCGCAGTTACAAATTCACTGAGCTTGTCTTCTGCTGTCTTTCAAAGTTGCGCCCGCAAGCCGCTTGTAGTTACATTTCTCAAACCGCTTTACAGAGATTTTCCAAACAAGAAACGGAAAAACATCGATTCATCACAGTTTCAAGAAACAAAATATCCTCATTAATTGTTAAAGTTACATTTATAGCAAAAGGAAACAGAAAAGAAAACAAGATCTTTACATGTAAACTGACCTGGATTATGTCGCCGAAATTTCAACAGATTTGTGTGGTTTACAGTGGTACGACAAAAGATTAAATTAAAACCTGTGTCACCCCAACAAAAACTGGAGTTAAATGGTTATTTCAGTTTTAACGAAATGATTTGCACGCGAGCTTAAATTTATTATTTTCTGCAGTCGGATGCGTCAACACTTCTATACTCTCTTAGTACTACGCTGAATACGCATAGGAGAAAATGGTTCCTTTATCAGATCCTTAACAAGCACAAGTTATTTTCAAGCACAACTTGACAAAAGTCATTACCCCAGTGCTAGTTTCGGATATTATACTTCTGTCTCGCCCTCTTGTTTTCAAGCACTTAGGGCCGCAGATTTTACACTTGTAACTCCATTTAAAACTCGTTTGCACTCAGGTTTTTACGTAGAAAAGTTTTAGTACTCTGTTAATTTGATCCTGATCGTATGTTTGCTTTTGAGCAGAACTGATATTTACTTAACTCTGAGAACTGCATTGACGGACACAGAAGAATTTCATAAACTTTAGACTGAAAACCGTAAAATCGTTTTATATATATATATTTATCTGAAGCATTGTTTATTATAACTTAGTGAATAAAAACTTATTTAGGAAGATTAGTAATTGAGTTAGCTCTAATTCCAGTGTGCAATTCTGATGTTTATGTTTAAATCTTGCATGTTGCTTTATATAGGCTTATAATCGTAAGATTTCAAGTTACCATGCCTTGGAATCATTACACTGGCGACGAAATTCAGTGCAGAGGAAAAGAAGCACAGCTCAGAAATCGCACTCGTTCAAGAAGCAGTAGACGTGTTCCTTCATCACACCTCAGCAAATCTTGTGAAGGTAATCTATTTCATATTTATTACAGTTGAGTTCTAGGTTTTGCGATACCTTATCCCCATAAGTCCAGTGGCGTTTCAAGGGAATTTGCTGAAAGGTTCTGAAGGCCAGACGGGGTAAAAAATTCCCCCCCACCCCGCTGCCCTTTTCTATTACGAGCACTGAAATGGGCCCATTTTCAACTAGATCGTATTTTTCCGAGAAGTTTTCTAAGTTGGTTTGTATACTATTGATATTAGGTCTTTCCACAAATATCACGTAAAATCGCCTAAATATCTATCCGGAAATTCTTTGAAAAGTTTTTTAAATATCACAAAAATGTTTCTAACTACTATATCTCAAAAACCCTCTAAATACCTCTTATGTTGAATAAACCGATTTTGAATCACTTAGGTCAAAATTTCGAGATTTTCTTGCAGTAGTTGAAGGAATAGAGGGAGAAGATTCAGGCGTTTCGGTCATGGTTACCAGCATGCGTCATTTTGGAAAAAGAATATATATATATTTTTTGTGGAAAATCGCGGAACTGGATTATTTGGCATAAAACTGAGTATTGTTTCAAGAAAATAGCGAGGAAAACACGGGGCTAAGCCCCCAAAAAACTATGAATATTTCTAAATTTTCTTAATATCGTAATCAGTTTTCCAAATACACCAAAAATACCCGGATATTTGTGGAAAGTCCTAACTGATTTGTTGTGCTTTAATTTAACAGTCATCTTCGATGAAGAAAACTCGCCGGAGCAAGAGTCATCGAGAACACCGTGGGGTCTGTGCAAAATTTCGCGCTCAGGGTCTTCATACAGTTGTACTGATGTCACCTTTCCTCTTGGTTTTACGAGCGACGAATGTCAAATGCTGGCCACTCGACAACGAGCTACGAACTACCTATTTTACATGTACACTGACAGAGGACGTCCTGTGCAGTCGGTACAAAGATCGAAGAGTTCCAATTCTTCGTCCTGGCGAGTCAAAAGCCCTAGTGAAGAAGACGCAATCAAAATGGCGCCAGCCTTTGGGAGAAAGCAAGATAGTTCGAGATTGTTGAAAAATAACTGCTCTTTTTCTCTATCTAAGAGGAGAGAAAAGGGAGCTAAAATCACACCACCTCGGAGAGAAAGCTTGGCCCAAGAAACTGAGTTTTCTATTGACGATTCCCCAGCAAAGATAATGATCCGCAGTTTGAATAGAGACTTGTCGCCGTCCGCGCGATTAGAACGCTATTTAATTAGCCTGCAACGGGCGGGTTTTTTAACGAGTGCAAATAAAGAAAAAAGGAAAAACTCTCAGATTGAGTTAGACAGAGAAATCACGGAAAACGCTCGAGAAGTTAGTTTAAGGTCGAAGTATTTACCTCATCCTCCAGTATATTTATTTGAAAGAGCAGTTAAGAATTCTCCTTTTAATAATAAACGAAGATAAAAATCTAGCGTGTGTTGCGATTTTACTATTCTCGTGACCTTCTTTCTTGCGATTCGTTCCTAGACAAACTAGTGCTAACCAATCAATGAAAATGTTGTCTTCTTGGCCAATCAGGTCCATGAATTTTCCCACGTTTGCAGACTAGCTGTCCTTCCACGGTTATATTTTTGTTAGACTTCTTATTGCAAAGGAACTCGTAAGGAGGGGAATTTTTAAACATCGCTTGAGCCATTGAAAGGCTTTATTTAGTGTCAATGGTATTAAGCTTTAAACAAAAAGCTAATTGCGACACTATTTAAATAAATAAATAATGTCCCCAATAAAATTTGCATACTAGTATTATAGTACTACTATAGTTTAATCCCTATTAAACGGTCGCTCTCTGGGAAATGGATATATAGTGGCCGCTTTATAAAGGGGCTGGCCGCCTAATAGAGGTAAAACAATAGAAGAGCCATAATTGGGACTTTGATTACTGGGGTGGCTGTTTAATAAATAGGTGGGGTTCGACTGTAATTAGTTTTACCGGTTCAAAAGCCGTTGCGCAAGAGCAAGAAAGTCATCAGAATCTGTGCAATAACTTAAAGAAATCCAAAAGACGAAAAGAAAAAAACAAAAACAAGGAAACATGTTTCGGATGTTCAGTATCAGTCATCAGCTACACACACAAGTAGGGTAGAGTAGACGAGTAGATATCTTGTGTACTCATTTGTTATTCTTGCGCATGAAGTTCCCATTATATAAAACGCGTCGGGAAGCATAAGAAGGTAGCGGAAGGTTTCGGACCAAATCAAGTTCGCACCGTAAGTGTTCGCACCAGAAACTCGATTGGTGCGAAACTCAACAAATTTTCCAACGACGTACCAGAAAACAATACCTCTCCCCTCCACCCACCGGTAAACTAAGAACGAACTTTCGCGCGGCTAAACCTGGGCTAAACGAAGAAATCCCAGGAGGGAAAGAGCTTTAGAATTATCATATTCTGACTAAACAAAAGTAGCTGAGCAACTTTTCATAGCAGGAGGGAGCCGCACGTTGGTAAATAATCTTCCCACCCCACAGCCACAGGTCAGTCACATGACAAACCAGTTGTAAAAATATCCGCGCGAGCGACCGGTCTTTGTGTCTTCTGGCTACTAGTAACTTCAAGGTTTTTCACGGAGGTTTCTTTCCTCTTGGCTTTTGCTTGGACTTTTGAGTGGTAAATCGAAACAGGTCTTTGATTGTCTACAAGAGAGGAAGGCAAGCACTGTCTGCTAAAATCCAAACACAGGTTGATATGGTTTGGCAGTCCGTGTAGGTCTTTCGTGTGCTGAAACCTTGAATCTTTTTGAACCGGCGAAGCTTCGCTCTTTGACAAGAAGTCTTTGAAGTAGCAGAAGTTTTGGCATTTCCTGAGTGCTTCGAAAACTTATTGATAAAAAGGAGCCCCATGAAGAAAAATCAGTCCTTTGAAGAGAGAGCGGCCTTGCTTCGTTCAGAAGATCGGCGATATCGGTCGCTTGGTTCCGTTCACCAAAACAAATGCAAGGTCTACAAACGCCGATGGTACATTCTCACTATTTTCTCAATCGTTGCGGCGCTCAACAATTTAATCTGGAATACTTGGGGACCTATACAGGGTACTTCACAAGTTGTGTTTGGCTGGGACAACACGACTATTACACTGCTGGCTGATTGGGGCCCGATATCATTCGTTGTTGCCGTTGTTCCGATGTGCTGGTTGATGGATATGAAAGGTAAGCTTAAACGTTATGTCAATTAGATTAAGCTCATTGTGTTACTGATAGCAGACTTCTTATTCGTTTCAATGTAAGCTTAATTTCAAATGATAAAGATTAGACAGCGTTGGGTTTCGATGGATCCAATGAACAAACTGTGCGTGTAAAATTGCATAGTAGGAGCAGTTCTAAGTTACCGTAGTTCCCTCTAGAAATTCCAGCTTTGGTTCATACTTTCCTTGAATAACTGGATCATGTACACTAAAGACATCCGCAGTCAAATGTGGATCAATACCCTTAATTGATACCCTTGATCAACCCTCTGTCGACCCTTGATGGACACTTGATTGATACTCCATCGACACTCCATCAAAACCTTATTTGATATTCAATCAACACTTGATAGACATCTTGGTCAACAGTCAGTCGAGAACTGTGTAATTTTCAATCACTGCATATGAGATATCGATAGAGTGTCATTCCTGGGTCTATACTTGAGGGTATTGATTGATACTCGACGGTGGTTGCCTTTAGTACACATGATCCTGGAGACCTTGAATTTTCCAATAACCTTCCTTAGGGTGGGTATGGATATTTTCTGGAACCACACTGTCACAATTTCATACATTTCATCATATCCAGTTGACGTAGCAATGACCCTAGTAACAGAAGTTGGAGTTAAGTGTCAGCTCAGATAGGCTCCTTCGACTCACTGAACTGGAACAAGTGTGATCAGGAATATGGATCTAAGTCGATCATATTGACTCTTTTTCTGTGTTGATTTATAGGCCTAAGAGTAGCTGTCCTAGTTGCCATTTTTTGTGAGTTTATTGGATCTGGCCTGCGCTGTATACCACTCAGTGATCAGCATGTGAACCTACAGACTGCGCTTATCCATTGTGGACAGTTTATAACTGGAATTGGAGGTCCAATTGCCATGGCTGCAGCTCCAATGGTTTCTGCAGCGTGGTTCCCTCCTGAGCAGCGTACGACTGCGACTGCAATTTCTTCCCTGGCTTGTTACAGTGGGACAGCTTTGTCATTTGTAATTGGGCCACTTTTGGTTCCTGATGTGGAGGAATATTTCAAACAAAGTGAGCTTAACGTTACCAGTAATGGGCAGATTTCTTATCTTGAGCTGAGAAATCATTTTAACCAGACAGAGATAGACTACTTCAAGCACAAAATAATGCACCTGATGTACATAGAGCTGGGAATCACCGCTCTTACAATGTTGTGTGTTATCATTCATTTTCCTGAGAAGCCCAAACTGCCACCAAGTGTCACTGCTGCCATTGGACGTCTGGAATTCAAAGTTGGTGCCAAGAGCTTACTAAAGAATTCACAGTTTTGGCTGTTGGTGGTTATTTATGGAATAGGAACTGGAGTTTATGGTGGCTGGTGTTCAATTCTAGACCTGAACCTCTCACAGTTCGATATTGATCAGAAAACTGCTGGTTGGTTAGGGTTTGGTGCCGTTGTTGCTGGATCAGTCTCAGGAATTTCATTGTCAATGTAAGCACAAAGTTACACTTGTACTGTTAACTTAAACATACAGTTGAACCTGACTATCTAGAACATGTTATCTTGAACTCCCTGTTATCTCAGACTCAAATAATTTCTCCTTTGAATCTGATTTTCTTTGTTCATTTACAATAAATTGGCTATGTTAAACTCCTGCCTTTTTGTACAATTTTTTCATCTTCCTAAATCAGGAAAGTGGGCTTCAGGTGTAGTTAACATACATCAATTCATTAATTGAGACACTCACTTGTTGTTCTGTCATCTTTTATAAGCAAATTCCTTTAGGCTAACTAGTGTAAATCTCTCTTTATTGAAAACTTTTTAAATGGTGCACTTTTTAAACGGTACACCTGGGTGGAGAGAGGCACTGTGAGAGTAAAGTGTCTTGCCCAAGAACAC